TGGAACGAGGAACCTTAAAACGGCCGCTAGTACTGTTCACAAGCCACTGTGATAAGGAAAAAAATGGCTCTTAATGGACTTTGATCTATCTAGATTAAATTGATCTAATCAGTTAATCTTCAGTGGCCTAATGAAAATCCTATATTGGATTAATATCCAAGGTCTTTTATTCTCCCCAAAATAAGACAAAAGAGCCTAATCCTACATTGGCAATAATAGCTTATGTCAATATTAGGTCTAAACAGCATAGATTGAAGTTACCTTGGCAATTATAAATTCCAAGATCTATAAAACTCTTTTCTTTCTTTCTGGGAAGATAGGAAAGATGAGCGTTAAGGTTGATATTGAACTTAGGCTGTGCAATTTTGGTGATTGCAAATCTGAAACTTTGTTGGCTCTACTGCCAATATATACGTTTGTGTTATTACTGGAGAACATGCTGATAATGAACTTCATTTGTGTTTGCAGACTCTGACAAAGCTGCGGTTCTCAAGAAATAAGTTCACTGAGACCGAGAAGGAGGCATTTGAAGTAATTTTCTTTACCTATGTTTTGTACTTACATTGCTTTCAGTCACTTTGAATGAGTCTGCAATGCTTTGGTACTGCTCTTGTAGAAACTACTGCGAGATGATGACTTCTATAGGATAAGGCTACCATCAAATGTCTTGAGCCCTCCTGGACGTGATTTCACTATTTCATCAGTCAAATCAGTGAGTTGACTTTTACATGTATTATTATGAATCGCATGATCCCTGAGGATTTTCTGAATCAAATGTTATATGTGGATAGTTTTTGTTTTTCAACTTCTACAGGGCTAGCAAAAATAAGATAGGTTTTGTTTTTCCATTAAAATAATAATAATAATAAATTATAGCAAACTAATCATTTAAGATTTAAGCTGAATTGACAGTTGAGGGGAACTATGTTTTCAAAGCATCTTCATGTGGTAGAATTTTTAAGCATTTTGCTGCATTTTATATTCATATGGGAAAGGGTAAATTGGAACATTTATTCCCTAGATCACCAAGTGAGATAGGAGGTATTTAAGAAATGAAGTTTTATAAACTTAATGAAGCTTTTTTCATTAAGTTAACCAGGAAATAACAACTTCAACCATCTAATCATTGATGTAGGTGATAAAACTTGCTCACCCATCAAAATGCTCATTTATATTTTGGGAGTAGGAGTAAATAAGTTTAGTCTCAAACATGCCTGCTGTGAATTATTTTTATCTTTTCTTTCTTTCATTCACCATCTGCTGTGTTTTTTTTTCGAAATAAAAATGAAGATACCCCCTTGGTATCTGCTGTCTTACTAATTTATTGAGAAATCATTTTAATTGGTGTTATTTTTGCACAAATATTTTTACTTACGGTTTGAGAGGCTTAATTTTGTTGTATTAGAAAAGGATTTAATTTAAGAAGTAACATACATTTTTGGTATTTTCTCAATGCATAAGTCCTAAATATCTCCATATAGGTGCATGCATACATGTATTAATGCATATTGATATATTCTAGGTGCTTGTATATTTGAAAGATCAAACACATGTATCATTCATTGTCGGTTCACGTATTATTGAAATGTTTGTATACATGAATTGTTAATTGTCACACTCATATTCATGTATTTGATGCTCGGCCTCACCTGTCGATAAAAGGCCGATTAACATAGAAAGATTGAAATAAGTAACAACTTAAGAAACCTAAATACTTTCTGAGTTTGGACATCTGGTATTGAAGTTTTGGAAGTACTTAGTTCCTATTAGTTGGTAAAAACCACAAGGGAATCAAGTGAAAAAAAGTGAAAGTTTTTGGGAAAGAGTTGGTTAAATCCCTTGCTTAGTGTGTCTTACACTTTCTTCTCAAAAAAAAAAAAGCCCTTGCTTAGTGTCTGATATGTAAGATGCATTTCCACAACATAATCTCTAGTAAATAAGGTAATGGGCACCCATGATGGAAATAAAAATTTGTAGAAGTTTGCAAAATTAATTGGATTTTGGAATTTAGCCTTTATAGGTTAGATAAAAAAGAAAAGGAATTTTGCATATTCTTTTGGTTTTGCTTCTATCCATTGTCTTTTCATTTTAAACTAACCACTATGATTCAATATTGTTCTAATATTGATTTTTTTAAATATTACAGAGATGCCTTGCTCGAGAAGGTTTGGATGAACATTTTGTTATACATATGGTAATCCCATACTCTCTTAGCTCTTTTTTTTGTTGAACATTTATCAAGCATTTGTTGATGCCACCTGTAGAAAGTCTGTTTTTTCTGGATATAAAAAGAAATAATATTAATGAGAAAAAGGCAGAGGATAAGATATTTTCCTAAAACCTTTTCCTAGGAGAAACATCCAAAATAAAGAGTATTAGGAAAAAAAGAGATAAATGAAACAAATGGAGAATCAAGTGTTGATTGCTTTCCAGTATTTCTGAAGGACAAGTAAGAGAAATATCTGAGAATGTTCCATGGGACTTTGTCCATAGGGAGGCCAAAAATGTCATCTTTTCTCATAGGATTTCAACTGGGAAAGATCAATCATTGAAGATCCAATGGTTTCTTTCCAACCTAATTTTCTATAAGCCTGCAAATAGAGCACCTTGCCGCAGAAGCTTTCCTTTCTCCCATGCCCCCATCCCACCAAATATTGGAGCTATAAAACATTCCAAAGAGGTTAAATGTATTACTTCTCTTCGAAACATCAGACAAACATCTGGAGAAAGAACTCAATTAGGTTTATGGGTTTGCAATAGTTCATTAGTATTAAACCAATTCAATATTGCGGTCTAAACAAACACCTTTAAGAAACCTTGATTTGTCTAATGTCTTAGTAGAAAGGCTATGGTAGTAGCCATTAAGGTATTGGATAATATGTCCAGAAATGGATTTGCCAGTGTATGTACTCGAGGA